TTAATGAAAGTTAAGCTTTTGTCTGAGCTCTTTAATTTGTGGGTATTAGGAGAGGTAGGCCCCAAGGAAAGACTAATACACAGGGGGAAAATGTGTATATACTTTTAGTAGGTATTTCAATTAATTCATAAAAAAATAAACTTATCATGGGGTTTCCTTTATATTTAGATGCAAATAAAATAACATATATTGGACTGATCTTAAAAGTAATATGTAAAAATTTAAAGCTTATTGAATTGTCTAAAAATGTCCCAAATTTTCAACCATGGTCTTTGAGTGCATACACAGACACACACACACACCCACAACCGGAGCACCGCAAACATTCTCCATCGACGGAAATGGCAATAGGCAAAAATCCATTGCCTACTTATATGGGCTGCATGAGAGCCACGCTGCCCAGGTGGGGGTGCAATTGGATGGGATGTTTTTATTTGAGGAGGAGATTCACGAGGACTGCCGGAAAAACACATGCCTGGCCAGAAGCTTGTTTACATGCATTTGGCGCACTCGCCAGATAAATTAGCAGCAACATTACAGCAACAACTCCAACATTACAACGTCCTGCAATCAGTTCACTTATAGTCAACGCTGATTTTAAAAGCAAGAAAACCGAAATCAATAGATAGTTATATATTTTTTAATCAAACATTCTTTTCTTCTTGTAGAAGTAATAGAAAATAAACTTTTTAAATATTATTTATTATATTCACTAAAGTATTGCCAGGCAAGATATAAATGTCTTGTATGGAGCAACTGGAAACTTTAATATTTGTGTTCTTTTAATTAAAATTTATTTTAATTTAATAAAAAAGATTTGAATTTCTTTCTAAAGGATTTGCACAACTTTTAAGCTAAACTAAAGGGTTATATTTTGGGCAACAAGCGAAAGTGACAATATATAATAATTCTTTTTAACCATTTTAAAATGTTTTTTATTTTAGAAAAATCAATTAACTAAATCATTATGCAGTCGATCGCTCTTATAAGTAATATCCTAGAAAAATCAGAAAAATCAGAAAAATATTTTTGTTTTGACACATATATAAATGTTTTATGGCTCTCGTCTTAGTGTTATTTTTTAATTTAACCGAAAAAGATTTTTAGTTTGGGTATATGTACAATCGTCGGCCTGCCAGAGGTAACTTCCTTTCTTGTTTCTGTATTATTTGAAGCCCAACTAAAATTCCCAGAACTATGTCTTGCAGGTTGCATTTACTTAGTTGCATTCGATGCTCAACGAGGCTACAACAAAATTTGAAACTTGCTGAAAAATATTTGTCCCTACTTCAAGCCGAACTTCAGCCCTTCTTTCGCCCGGCATGTGTTTGAAAAACTTTCGACTTCAGTACACAACTAACCCCAACTTCTGGCGAAGCAGGCGGAGAAAGCACAAAAAACAGCAAAAAACGAGAAAAAAAAAGTAAAAAGATTTGTTAACTTGGCCGAAAAGGAGGAGGAACTTTCCATTCGAAGTTGGCCAGAGAGTAAATTGAAGGAGACGAAGGACTGGCTTACAGTCCAATTTCGCAAATCGTCCATTTTTGCAGGTGATAAATTTTGAAAGGCATTTTAATTGATTTCGACAAGAGAAATTAAACTCTGCCGGGGCTAGAGCCAGAGCCAGAGCCAGGACGAAGGTGAAGGTGTGAGCGACATCAATTATTAAACGTTCTATGCCATTTGAATTATCAAATTTTGCCACTGACAAAACGCTCTATGCTGGTGCGCCTCTTTACATGTGAGTTTCAATTAAAAATTTACTTATTTGCTCGACAAAGTTTTTGTGCGAAGGAGAGCAGCATGGGAGGTCTTCAAATACCAAAATGCTCAAATACAAAACGACAGAAGGAGCCGGAGATGCCAGGATATACAACGAGTACGAGTGCCTGAACGGGGGAAAAGGAAATGTGAATGTGAATGGGTATGGGTATGGGTATGAGTATGGGAATGAATAAATTTCCAAGCAGTTGAAATGTTGAACCAAGCGAAGTTTCTGCTTTGTTTTGGCGCCTCAACTAAAGAAACACACACACACAGAACGAATAGCGAGCGGAGCAGAAAAAGGCATACACCGGAAATAGGATTCTAAGTATGCATTAGCATGCAAATTTAGCATTTATGGAGTTAAGAAGCTTAAAAATTAGCTCAACATTTCGGTAATTTTAAAACATATTTTTAATATATATATATTTTGTTTTCCAATCAAAAAGTGAACTAATATGAGTTCTTGTTCCAAGTGTATTCTCATCCAAAGAAGATGCCAAGGCTGGAGCGGCATGCGGTTTGTGGCAGCCTCTTACTTGCTGCACACTTTGTGGCTATCGGTGACAGGGACGGGGATACTACAGAGCCTGGCCCCTAGGAAGAGCTGCAACTGGAGGAGGAACTGTTCAAGTTGTGCAGCGAAAGCCACAAAAATAAGATGCGACGACAAAGTAAGTACTGCAAGAATACCTCTCCTCGAGTGTTGCGCCTCCGTCTCTGTGCAAGAAATTAGAGCCGCAAATCATTTTGAAAACAATGCATATGCCATGTCATATGACAAGGATGCCTCCGGAAGGGTGGGAAGGAAGGGGAGCTTGTTGGGTTTTCCAGGAAGCTGCACAAAATTCCCCACGCCTTTTTTAGACGTCGGATATTCGAGATTCCGTCAATGCTAATTAGTCGGGTTTTGCGGCGGCATCTAATTGGGATTATGTATTGTTGAAGGAGCAACTTTCCGGGGGCGTAATCGCGTCAGAGATTGACGTGCCAATGAGCTCATTAGGTGGAAATCCAGAGTGATGCTGGGAACTTGATGTATTATTTGCCGAAAATGTTTATTGTAATCCCTTTCCCGACGACAGGCTGAGCGATTTCCCAGCGATAATCATATTCCATACGGTCACAAAAGAATCTGAATTATTTGGGGGAATACAGGACTTAGATACGGAAAACCCTCCTAACCCAAAACCCACTTGAAATCAAAGCCTGTGCAAGAAAAGGCTTCTAAGCCAAAAACCCCGCTTCGGCCATGTGTGTAATGTCGGCTCAGACATGTCTAACACCCTTTGGCTAAGCTGCACAGCTCCGCCCACATTTTCTACTTCTCCTCGAGTAGGACTTGCAATTTAATATTCATTTTGTGAAAGACCCATTTACATTTTGCGTTTGCCCTTTTTCGTTACTCCTGCTCCGGCTCCTGCTCCTGCTCCAGTCCCTTTCTGCATATGAGTTGCACTTTCTTTTTTTTTCGACCTCATTCCCGAGCCTGAGATGGAGCCGGAGACCTCATCCCCTAGTCTCCACTCACCGGGGGAGCGACTGCTCAACACGGCGTATGCGTAATCTAAGCAGAGCTCTACATACCCCAGCACTCTTCAGTGCCTTTTGTTTGACTTAATTCAACCGCAAAGGCACAAGGATGCGGGATGTATACGGGATGCTGCTGGGAGGCCGGGACACACTGGGATGCTGGGATGCTGGGAAGCTGGGAAGCTGGGATACCAGGGACAGGGATTTGCGAGCGTTGACCACTTGAAAAGATTTTAACCCGCTGTCCCCGACTTTTGTCCAAGAGCCTCCCATCGTCCCTTTACATCCTTCTCATTCATCCGTCTCCATTCTCCCTTTGGGGTGGAGAAAAACCTGCTGCAGCTGTTGATTTATACGCACTGGACCATGTCAATGTCGATGCCGGGCGCCCTGAGGGAAGCAATCATCGCCGGGTTGCCATAACCAGATGCCCATAGAAAGGAGCCTTCACGAAGAGAAAAATTTCCAATACATTTTTAGGCTGCACAGGAAATCAAGGCCAGCATTATGGATTTTGGCCAGGACGTACTGCACCTTGTACTGGCCAATGAGCTCTCCTGATTCAGATAGACCATTTCATAGGGGCGACGTGGATTCACATGGGACTTCCATAAGACAGAGGATATGCGGTCGTTTACCATTATTCCAACAATTCAACAATAATACAATGAAATAAAGTTACAATCATATATACATATGTACATATATACATATACATACAGAATAAATATTGTGAAATATTCTTTTCTCGCCGTGTAAAGCTTCAATACAATTGTAAATCCAATTCGAGCCTGGCATTTGCTTGGGTTGAGTTGGCCAATAAACAAGTAATCGGCCACGCCCACTAAACTTGCACAATTAACAGGAAAGGGCGATGGGTGGAGAGCTGCAAATTGGGAAATTGTTTTTGCGGGTGCCGAAATAGTTATTAAAATACATATGGGCGGTTAAATGTTTAACTAATGTCCCGCCATATGTGATAATTGGGGGCGTGGGTGGACGGATGCAAATATTTGGCCATTGGCCACAAAGCCCGGGTTTACTGCCAACCAGCGAAAATGCAATTGAAATGCAAATATTAATTACAATCACATGGGCAGCGAGGTGCTATCGTATAGTACTATCGCTAATTGTCGCGCGATAGTTGAAAAAAAGCATGGTTTTTGTGATAATTGGAAAACGCATTGTTTTTGTGATCGAAAAGCGGTAGAAAACATTTATATTTTTTAAAGATTCTTCTATTCAAAATATGTCTAAAATATGGTTATTATGAATATATTTAATACAATTAAAACTGATATTAAAGCGCAATGAATAGGAATTTGAGACAATTGGAATTGAAACAAAAATAATTGAAAAAAATATTTTTAAAAGGAAATAGCTGCCTTTACTTTATTTCAAAACCATTTGCACATATATCAAACATACATAACACCTTGATTAATATTAAAAATAATAAAATAGATCAAACATTCCGATAACAAAATGATGGTAAAAAGTTTGTGCATCAAAAAATTTAAGTCGCACAATAAGGAAGAAAAAGTTCTCTTTGTTAATTATGTATTTTCCTGCATATATTAGAAACATACATTTACTATTTTCATTACTAAATATGTATAAATTTTTCTGAAAAACATAGTAGCATTTTGCTTTAAAAATGTATGTTATCGATATGTTTTAGAACTTGACGTCAGTAACGTCCCTAAAGCTAACCACGCCGCGTGCCAGAACACTAACATCTCTACTTCCGTTTTTTTTTTTTCTAGAAAAGTTTTGTGAAATTTTGATTTGTGAGCAAAAAATAAAAAAAAAAAATTGCAAACAATGAGTTTCTGCCCGAAATATTCACATGTAAATTGGCATATAATGTGATTGTTATTGTGCGCAGGTATGAAACTATTGATATTTACTTTCAGAGACCGATTTACCCGTACGCAAGCCCACCGCCGACGCCGTTCCATGCGCCTGCGTATTGCCAAGAACGGGATTTTGCACGGCCCAGTGGCTGGTTTCGCCATGGGCCTTATCGCTCTCCTCCAAGGCCGTGTTTTCAATTGCATGGACCGAGAATTCCGCGGAGTCCCGTGAATTTTGGCTCCACGCCGGGCTACTACCAAAATGGTTGTTGGTTCAACGCCAGGCTACAAAGACGACCTTGGGCGGGATGGATGGGGCAGCCACATCATGCTCCGCTTCAGCAACAACAACAGCGGCAGCTGCAGCTGCAGCCGGAGCACGTGCCACAATATCACATGGCCGCCCAGCCGGGGCAGCAACAACAGCACATGAATTCATCCTGTTCATTGCAGCAGCCGCAGCAGCAGCAGTTGACTTCATCCTGTTCATTGCAACAGTCTGCAATGCCACCATCAATTTTATATCAGCAGAGGCAGCAGCAGCAGCAAATCTTAACTCAATCTTATCAATCGCAGCAGGTAATATCGCCATTCTAATTCTCACAGTCCAAGCAGCGTTATATTGCAATCTCATCCCTGTTAGCAGCAGCAAATCTTGCCTCAGTCTTATCAATCACAGGTGGTAATGCCTCCGGCTTGTCCCACGCATCACCGCCTGCAGCAGCAGCAAATCTTGCCTCAATCTTATCACTCGCAGCAGGTAATGTCGCCATTCTAGTTCCCGCAGCAGCAGCAGCCAGTCACATTGCTATCTCATCCCTTTTAGCAGCAGCAGATCTTGACTCAATCTTATCAATCACAGGTGGTGATGCCTCCGGCTTGTCCCACGCACCAGCCGCAGCAGCATCAGCAGCAGCAGCAGCAGCAGGTTTTTCTGATGCCAATGTATCCATCACAGCGACAGCATCACGATGTCATGCTGCAGCCACAACAGCAGCAGATCTTGCCTCAATCTTATCAATCGCAGCAAATAATTTCTCCATCCTGTTCATCGCATCAGCTGCAAATAATTTCTCCATCTTGTTCATCGCAACAGCTGCAGATCCCGCTGCCAAGCCAGCCAGCTCAACAAGATCTGAGAGCGTCGAGGGTCCCGAGGGCACCACAGGTAGTGGCAGCACCCAATGCTGTGCCGATGCAAGTACCTCTTCCTGTTCCGGCACCACAACAAGAGGTGGAAGCGACGCAAGTGCCCCAAGTAGTTGAGGCTGAGACTCCACCCGAAGTGGTCGAGATCAATCTGGGAGCCGGAGTTCAAGCAACCAGAACCCATAACAAGCTAACGATTGACATCGAGTTGTCCCACGGGAACAGTGCTGTTCCGGAGAGACGTCGCTGTGCGGATGAAGTGCTGAGTGAGCTTACTCAGCTCATCAGAGGCGTAAGATAGAGAAAAATCAAATATGCTTGCCTTACATCATATTCGCTTTCGCATAATGCTTTAGACAATTGTTAAGCTAAGTCCATTTATAGAATGCATGTAATAACACTGGTTTTCTGTAGTGTTTTTACAGAAATCCTCTGCCACGACGACGACGGAATCGCTTTTGGCTTCGACACACCGTACCACGAGCACGTCCATTATGTGATGGAGTGCTGTGTGTTTTAGAGGATAAAGATACACAGACGGAGGAGGTGGTCGAAAGCCAATTGGAGATTCACGAATCACTGGATGAGTCGACATCTTCAGCTCGGACTTTGGTGCCGGAGGAATTCTTGTCCCCGCGGCCAATATCATTTTCAACTCCAACTTTGCTGCAGGAGGAATTTGTAACGTCTCCGCAGCCTATATCATTTTCACCTTCGACTTTGCTGCAGGAGGAATCTGTATCGTCTCCGCAGCCTATATCATTTTCACCTTCGACTTTGCTGCAGGAGGAATTTGTATCGTCTTCACCGATATTGTTGCAGGAAGAACCCTGCATTGAACAGCCGGTCGCTGTGCCGATCTTGTTGCAGGAAGAACTCTGCATCGAACAGCCTGATCCCATTTGTGATCAGACTTCCGAAGACATAACCGTGTCTAAGCAGCCGGATAACGATTTACTTAAACCGACTGGCCTAGACACTATAAAAATTGCCAAGAAGGCAACTCTGGCGAAGATTTCTCCGCGCCGTGAACCGAAAGCGGTTGGCACAGCTCCGCTACCAGGTCCGGAGGTAAGTGCCATATATCATATCTTCCCTTAATCCATAAAATTATTAATTCCATTTACTTAAGCCAAAGGGAATCAACGACGAGACCAGTTCCTGGCCACCTTTGGGCACCCGGCCACCTACCAGACCATCTTTGGTCAAGAAAAGCATTTCGGTAAATGCGAATGTCTTCAAACCTTCGCAGCGATACAATGAGAATAGATTCTCGAAGACAACCTTCGGAAATCAAACAAATGTCGGGGACACCGAGTCAACCTTTCAACCCAAACAGATACTGCGAAACATGGAGCGCTATGGCAAGGAATTGGCCAAGTCAAGTGGCGGCCAAGCCGAGGCAGGAGCTCAAAAGGATCCATTAGCAAATCTAAGTGGCAGTTTGCAGGCTCTGCAAGTTTCACAACATAAACTCGTGAGTACTCCAAATGATAAAAAGATTCCAGGCAGCCCGCAATGTGATAATATAACATTTGGTCTCCAGGATAAAAAGCATTCAATACAAAGCAGCAAGCAGCAGCAGCCGGGATCGAAGTTGATAGCCGGAAATATGTTTGCATTGCTGGAAGATTCTGTGGCGGAAGCATCTCCTCCGGAAACTAAGGACGAGACTGCTGGTGAGGAGAAGGATCATGTGGATGCCAAGAAATCGGCTGCGAAGAAGGCAAAACAGCAGAAGAGGAAGCAAAAAAAGAAGGAGAAAGCCCGTGCTATGAAATTGGAGGCTGAGGAAAAAAGAGTAAATTCCCTAGCCCCAAATGGACCAACTTCATCTGGCCCTAATGCTGATCTTGAGGGCAAACCGTGTGAGATTAAATATTTTGGAAACCTACAAGTTACAGGTCAACCTGCAACGACAGTATATGAACAGGAAAGCGCCTTGAAATTTCTACTATTCCGAAATTCAGGAAAGTACGGCGCAAAAGAAACCTCTAATGCAATACTACCAGCTGGAAGAGGTGATCCAACAAAGTCTGCCGAGATACCAGTGGAGTCGCAGGACGAATTTCCTAGCTTGGGTTCAAGAAAAGGACGCCGTCGTAGCCAATTCCTAGATGCAGTGGCAGACCTCACGGTTTCGAAGAAACCTACCGAAGTAAAGCAACCGCCAATAAGGCGCAATTTGTGGGAAAGAAGGAATTATCCACAGAACTGAGAGCGAAGGGAACAAAATGTAGGCATATCCTTGTACCAAATGTTTTCAATTTTCATATACTTGACAATTTTGGCAAATTTAAACTTGCAAATTTCTATGTAATGTATACCCAGATGCCATCAGATTCTATACCTAATGTTAAAATGAAACAACTGCTTCCTATCAAATTTATATACGTAAAACTTTAATGAATAAATGTATGCATTGGAACGAATTTTAAGATCTCAAATTACATTAATATTTGTTTATACACAACACGAGCAGAAATAAAGTCCAACTTTCTTATATATTGAATTTGTTTGCTAAATTGCTGAAACTGCCCTCGCATTAGGCGCTCCATGAACCGTTCTACGCAACGTGTCGCGTTGTAAATAGAATTTGTTGTGCATAATAAAATTATGCATTCATAAAGCAGTCGCAGTCGCAGTCGCAGTTGGAGTCGTTGTTGGAGTACCAAATATGGCCATAAAACACTCACTGAATGCAATTTTCACCGCCGCCCCAGGCTTTCACTTCTGCCCCCTTCCCCCTCCCCATATTTCCAGCATTTATGCACACAATGAGCAGCCATGGAAACCTCACTGATGTGATGGCAGCAGTCTGATTTTCCACCGCCAACGCCATTCAAATCGCCATAATGCCGAGTCCCTTTTCAAAGCAGTCCATTTGGCCAAAACTGAAGGAGAAGCGACCCCAAGGCCCTCAAAAAGGGGATCTCCCGGATAAGGATATGGATCCGCATATGCCTGTCCAAGGCAAGGATTCAATGGGCAGAGGTCCTTTACGCAAACAAAATTAAAGTTCAACGGAATGATATAGTAGGGTTTTACAGAGAGATATCATCTTATATTGAGAAAGGTTCTTGCGGCAAAACAAATGTAATTTAACTTGTTTGTTTTAATTGTTTAAGTTAAAACAAAACCTAAAGTATTTTGGTATCTATGAACTTTGAAACCTTTTAAGTTAATCTGTAAAAATACAGGCTTTATTGTAATTGCATTAAAAGTAGTGTCTTTGAAACTTGAAACCTTTAATTTAAACTTTCTTGCAATTGTATTCAAAGAAGTATTCTAATAGTTTGTAATATTAAGGCACACCTTAACTTAGATATTGTTTTTAGTTAAAATAAAACCCAAAGTATTTTGGTATCTATGAACTTTGAAACCTTTTAAGTTAATCTGTAAAAATTCAAGCTTTATTGTAATTGCATTAAAAGTAGTGTTTTTGAAACTTGAAACCCTTAAATTTAATCTGCTAAACTTTTTTGCAATTGTATTAAAAGAAGCATTATAATAGTTTGTAATATTAAGGCACACCTTAATTTTAGATATAAAATATTGATTTTAGATAATATTAAGGCACACATTTAACTTTTGAAATGTTTAAAAGACATTGTATATATAGCTATATATTTTCCCTTATCCCTGTATTAAAAGAAGCATTATAATAGTTTGTATTATTAAGGCACGCCTTTAACTTTTGATATGTTTAAAAGACATATTGTATATATAGCTTGTATATATAGCTTATACTTTTGCCTGTATCCCTAGATTTTGGGTAACCTAATCCGTTGGTTGAAGGATGCGGAAATTCGGCTAAGTCGGCAAGGTGCCTCCTTGAGATTGAAGCTCTCTCTCTCTCTCTGGTTTCCTTGGATTTCCCCAAAAGGGGGGTGACACGATGTCGTCCATAAACGGATTATAATGCGTGAGCCCCGGACACCCAATCGACCTGGTGGCCACCGCCACCGCCTACTACTTATGCCTGCCCATCGCTGAGCAGTTAAACCGCTTACTGAATTTCTGTTCCCAGCTCGCCAGGTTGGCCTTAAACGCTGCACTCGAAGAAATGTGAGTTAAATAAGTTGGAAAATTATATGGAAATTCAGGGAAATATAAGTAGAACTAAGTATTCATATTAGTTATATGCCATAACGAAGTAATTTCGGTCAACTTTCCTTGCTTATCTTTTGGCTTCGACTTTTCTCGCAGTGTCGGCCATCCTTAGTGTGCTTCCTGAGCTTTGTCGAGGCAAAAGTCCATTCTGTCACGTTTTATATTGATATTTAAAAAACAACAAGTAGGAGTTGAGGGCGGGGCTGAGGAGGTGGCAGAAACAACTAAACAAAATGGCAAAACAAATTTCTGCGCGTTTTGCTGCCGCGTTTAGCACGTAGGCAGGGAGGGGGCGTTGGTGGAAAATGGGTTGCAAAGGGGGAAAGGGGCGAGACAGGTGGCAAGAGGTGGTGGGTGGAAGTGGAGGCAACTTGCTTCTGCACGTAGCAGCCACGTAGCAAATGGTAGCGGCAAACGGAAATTGCAATTGAGTGCAAATTGCAAGAAGGAAAGGACCTGCATTCGCAGCACCCAACCCGCAACCCCGAGTCCCCTTCACCCCTTGAACCCACTTCCTGTCGCCTTTCGATTTTCGTGCACTTCCTGTGCTGTGTGAGGTCACTAAATTTTTAATGCCCCTGTGAGCCGCAGGGATTTCCCTGAATAAATCTGACCGTCTTGAGTCACACAGCCCAAGGGGGGTGCCTTTAATGATTAACCACACTGCAAAGGCCGAAGCTGCCACGCCCCCCGCCCCCCATTGCCACAAGACACATCGCTGGGCCGTATCTTTGTTTGCTTGCCGCCTTCAACTTCATCGTCGTTTGTCACGTTCTGGTCGCGATGTTTATCGCTTCGAAGAACCCATGGAACCCAAGGAACAGGAACAGGAACAGGGACACGAGACTTTAATTAAATTCCTCAACGACCGAATCTCACACAATATCTGGCTAATATCTCTGGCTATATATTTTTTGGGGATACAAATTGAGTGGAATAGAATTTAACAAGCACCATTACTTACTATATCTTTTGTGTTTTATAGTTAATAGCTTTTTGTTGTAAGGACTTTGCACTTCAAAAACTAAATGATTGTAAAGATGAAAAGTTTTAGAGTTTTGCAATATTTAAAGAAAATCTATTAAATTAGGGAAATATATAATGAAAATTCTAAACCTGATTCTAGTGCTGCCAAAATTAGGGAAATATATAATGAAAATTCTAAACCTGATTCTAGTGCTGCCAAAGTACGATTTGATTAAAGTTTTAATTATATATATATTTATATATTTTATATTTATATTTAAAATATTATATATATATATATATATATTTTAATATGAATATAATATAATATATAATTTATAATTAAAATAAGCAGTTAACTTTGAGTATATGTTTGTAGGTATCTTAATACAAATTGCTGTATCATTTTAAATAAAAATTGAGTAATTGGATTTAGGGCAATAAGAAAAGTATAAAATTAATAGGAGAATAAATTCATAGCTAACACATCTGATTCTAGTCCTAAGCCTGATCTCGCCTATATTATCTATAGATATATGATATTATTGTGATAGTGAAGACTTACCGAAGTGGAGGACTCTTGATTTTTCGTCATTCCTTAATTCCTTCCGGTGTAGAGTTATATTCCTGGTGAGTGAATGAGTGAGTGAATATGTTATATACATCTTATCATAAATTTGAGGTCGAAGGGTAATCACTATCACTATCGATGTTAACACTAGGTACCCCTAGGACAGACTGAGCTCGCGGCGCCCGAAGCACCTCTATTTATAGTTCCCGAGTGAAGAGAACAGAGAAAGAGAGCGAGAGGGAAAGAGCTACCTCTAGAGCTGCAACAGAGAGAGATAGAGCGTAAGCGCCATCTCTAGAGCTGCAACAGAGGGAGGCAGACATACCAATGGATATTGTGAGTAAGAAAGAGAGCGAGAGGCAGAGGCTTATAGCGGCATACAGAAAGAGAGGGCAAGAGTAAGCTATTCACTGCAATTACAATATTATGATATTATATGAACCGAAACTAACTTCCGCCAGCCAAAATTCGTATACCATTGGAAATTGCAATTCGATCATTAATAATTTATAGAATATTAATTATATATATTTATGTTAAAGAAACAACAAAGTAATGCCTACTTTTATTACATTCATCGATACATATTAAATTTATAGTTTTACACTCACAGTTTTGCATTTTCCTTTACATTTAATGATCATTCCTATGGCAGCTATAGGATATAGTAATTGGATCCGACCCATTGAGAGAGAAATTCATTTAAATAACTTAAAAACTTAGATTGTTTGCCGAGAAACGGACAGACGGAAGGATCAAGAATATATATACTTTTTATGACCGGAAATTACTTCTTTACTGACTTGCAAGCTTTTGAACTGGATTTATAGTATCCAGCAAAAGTTTAATAATGGACCAAAAATTGGATAAAAAATTGGAATAATTTATAATTAAGTTAGGCTCTTAATTTTGAGTATAGGTTTGTATATATCTTTAATACAATTTAGAGAGAGAGAGAGAGACATAGGCAGAGGAGATAGAGAGAATGAGATCTTTAGAGAAGCACAGAGAAATATGGACATATCGAAAAATATAGAGAGAAAGGGAGAGAGGGAGAAAAAGAGAAATAAAATTTGATAACAGAAAGAGAGAAATATATATAAAAATATAAAAATCTATCAATAAATTAAAAAATTTCCTAGTAATACTTCTTTGGATGCTTTACATCGGCTTAATGTTGCTAGCTTATATTATTATTGTTCGCTCTTAATTTAAAAAAAAATACATTTCCAAGAATATAAAAACAATCTTCAAATGCTTGAGTTAATTTAAATAATATCACAAACTTAGTTTTAGTGTTTAGTGTTTTTGTTTATTAACATATGATGGGAAGTGATTGCAAATTGTACATTTTTTGAAGTTCAATGCATTTAACAAAGTGAAAAAATAAAACGAAGTAATTTAAAATGGAAATTAAATGTTTTTTAAGATTGCTTTTATGAGTGCATGTTGGTTTAGTTTCTCTCTTGTTGCTGCTGCTTCTAAAATATTTGTTAGGTTGCTTTTGTTTGATTTTGTTTTCTTGAATTGCTGCTGCTGCTCCCTATCCTGACCTTTTTTTAAATACTGCTGACCTCCGGGTGTTGGGTTTCTTTATTTTCCACTTTATCTGGAATAATCTCCTCCATTTTAAGGGGTATCTCCTCCTGTACATCAAGTTCTTCTTCATTAAGTTGTAGGAAATTCTGCTTCTTGAACTGCTTACGTTGCGGCCAAATCAACTGATTGAAGTGGTGCCAATGTAGACACAATAAAGGCAAAATGAAAGCAAAGCAATAAGCTAAATTTAAGGGGGAAAATATTGCAAATAAATCTATAATTTAAATAGAAAATAACCATTGATATTGCCCCTCTACTAACCAATCATAATCATTGTGGAGCTGCCAAAGAAGGCACACATCATGGTAATGTAGAAGGCAGCCAGAGACACCAGGACACTGGGACGATAATCCTGGCCAAAGATCACGTACATCCCGGTGGCCATCCAGCGGTTAATCCAAATGGTCACCCTGTCGGCCACCAGGTCTACCACCTCCGTTGGCACTCTAATCTTGGCCAGGATCTCGTTGGACTCCAACTCCTGGTATGGCTCAACGCGCTTAATTGCTGCATAGAGCATGACCATGCCCATGAGGATCAGCCCCACCAGACCCACGAGGCTGGGCAGACTAATACTGGCCAGAATATAGATGGTGACCAGGCCAAGAATCAGCCAGGAACTGGTTACAAATGGCACCTGCCAGGTGAGCACATCCATTATGGGTTTGGTCCACATAATTAGCGAACGGAATAACTCAGAGGTGGTGTAAATATTCGGTAGATTACGAGGCACCAAAGAGATCAGTGTCTCCTTCTGCTCTTCCTTGTTGATCTCCAATAATTCAGTCTCCATTATAAAAAGTTTCGGTTAGGAATTTTAGATAGATTGATTTTTTAGATTTTAGAAATATACTCAAAGTAAAACAAGTGCCACTGGCGAGAGACCAAATGTTACTGAACGTATGTTTCCAAACGAACAGTGATGTAGAGAATGTAAAAAGCAAAGCTTGCTAGGACATTTACAAATTATTAAATGCTCCTCTTAGTTTAGCCTTTACTTCAGCAATATAGAACAAATCTAAATAAAACCAATGGAAACTTTAGGAGTTTAAATACCTTTCTTATATACCATATTATTGCCAAAGATTTTTAACAATTTTTCTATATTTTCCTATAGTTTCCTATGTTATGATATTTTCTTGCCTCAAGGGAACGATAGTCGGAACCAGGCAGCCCCCCAAAAGTCACAAATAATTTATTCATGGTCCTGGCGAGACGAGGCTTATCGCTCATCAAGGATGAGGAATTCCCCGCCGCCGCTTTTCAAATGTCAAATATTTGGCCAGCTTTGCGTCAAACAAAGGCAGCGATCAGGACAAAGGCCAGTGCTTCGATTGCCACCACGGCGTATACGCAATAAATAAATTAAATCCCTGTGGAAGCTGTGGACCACGTAGCCCCTCCCGGGGGCGTGAATGCAAATGCCAATGCTGGCGGGGTTTTTGGAAAATGCAAAGCGAACAAACTAAATAGAAATGAACATGAAAAACGAACGAATGGGAAATTGGAAAAGCCGTTTGTGTGTCGCTAATGAAATGCGATAAAATGAACCGAAAACGAACCAAAATAATGGCCGATTTGAATGCCAAACGAGAGAGAGAGACAGAGATGAGCGGTCACCGATCAATTTTGTGCGGAAATTAGTACCACATTTTTTTCTGGGAAACTCTAAATGAATTTCCAAAGGCACAAGAAATTTCCATTGCGTTGGTGTTGAAAAAAACCAAGGACAACTTTTTGGGCTGGCTAATTTCCAGTGCCGGCAGCTCCAAATGTAAATCAAAACTGCAGCTCCAAGTGGCTGACTAATTAGATTACTTAAAATGGAACAGCCAAGAAAAACCGGTACTTATATATATATTATATATATGTTTATATATATATACGCACAGTGAGTCACAAAAAGCTGTTGACAATTTGGAATTTTGGAGTTTTTTGCAGGGCATTGGGATAGATATATGCAGCGGGAGAAATATGTTGGACTTTTAGAAGTTATTCAATAAATTTATATCTTTTAGTTGATGAATTTCTGAGTTTATGGAAAATAAAAAGCAACATAATTTGATTACTATAATAATAGAATTTTTTTATAATATATATAACGATTTTTAAACCTTGAGCTCCATCTAAATAGAATCTCAAATATTAAGACATATTTCTTGTTAAGGTTTTTTTTTACGGCTCTTTTTCAGTATCAAATTAAGATCTCTATATTGTTACTTTCCTTTTATTTTGCAACTAAACAAGAACTGAAATACTTTTCCTGAATTTAATATTTGCCTAATAAAGAAAAAATTAAGACAATTATGCAGTTTGGTAAATAATATTTAAAACAAGAAAGGAAACTAACTTTGAAAAGTCTTAGTTTGTAAATGAATTATATATTTGAATCGGAATTTAAATATAACTAAGCTTAAAATATTCTCCTGTTAGTGCTGATCAAGAATATATGATTTATAGGATCGGAAATGATTCCTTAACTTAGTTTCAAGCTTCGGACTCAAATTATAATACCCTCCAAAAGTATAGATATATATATCTAATTTATAAACTATACAATTTTCTTTACTGTGCACTTAAATATATGTATGTATATATTTAATATTTTTGTTTGCACAAAAATATATATATTTTTTGACTTGGCGCCAGCGAAAAGTGGCAGAGTTTCTTGTCGGTGTCTCCGTTTGCTGGCTGGCACGTCTTGCTTAATTATTTCCTTGGCTAGAGCAAACAATCAACATAATTTCTGACAGGCCGCCCACGCCCCAGCCCCGGTCCCGGTCCCGGTCCCTTTCCCGTTTTCCATTTCCCATTTTCCGCTCCTTTTCTTTTTTTTTGTCTTTGTATTTGTGTTCCTGCTTGGGCGACATAATAAAAACAAAATGTTAGAACTTTGCTCCATCCCGAGCATCTGATTAGCTGCATCCCAGGAGTCGTGCTCAAGATTCGAAGGACCTTTACCATTTCCCATTTTCCACAAAACAAGCAAAAACAAATGTATGGGGGAGAGGGGGTGGGAGGATGGAAAAACAGGTGAGGGCTTAGGTTACACGTTACGTTGCGTTGCGTTGCAGGCTTTACCAACACTTTCCCTTGTTTGCATTTAAATTTCGTTTTCAATATTACCGAAATCTGCATAAATTATCTCTCTACACAACCCTTGGCTGTTTTCCCCACTTTCCTTTTGGGGGGAAAGGATGGTGTATGTGTGTGTGTGTGTGTGGAACTATAACTATCGATCTCACTTAAGCCTCCTGGGGTCCTGCTCTGTCCGTCCATCTGTCCGTCTGTCTGGGCCATATGCAAGCTGGCAATAAAATTTAAATATTTTCCATATAAATCAAATCGATGGAAATTTTCGGGACAAAGCAACTTGCACCTGTGTGTGTACATATATGTATATATATCATATATATATATAGCAGACGAATGTGGAACGAGGTGTAGCTTTAAGGACCTCCTGAACGAGTGGGTGGCCGGTCAGTGGTGCCGTTGGCAAAATAATAATAAAACCAAAAAACAATAATGGCCGAGACATGGATTAACAATACCACAACAACAACAACAACAACAAAATTGTATTTAAATACATAAGCCTCATTTTATTGTCAGAATTTCGGCATTGTTTAAAGTTTCTCATGGAAATAATACCATTTTTAATAGCAAATTAATATGGCAATGGTTGTTTTTTGAATATTATATGTACATTTAATTTATCCTTATTGTATTAATTATGTTTTTGGATATTAACAAGACCACAAGACTTGTATTCTTAGCCAAAAGCTTATTGGTTTGTAATATTACTTCATTATTTCTGTCACATTTAAAATTCTTGACGTCTTTAAGGTTTAATTTGTAAAAGAAACCTATATTTTATTTTAATGAAAATAATCTCTTATATTCTATAATATTTCAATCTTATAGTAAACCAAATTTTAAGAAAATCTTCCCCCTGAAATTGGCTAAAATTTCTCCAAATTGTCAGAACTGGAAAACTAAAATATGCTTTCCACTGACTTCCTTGTCCTTGTCTTGGCTTGGTCACAATTTATGGTTATATTATATATATGACTATTCACATGCAGATGCAATTTGCGTTGACTTGACCCCAGCACCTGCTCCTGCACCTGCACCATTATCCTTTCCCCAATTCTCAGCGATCACGTAGTCCTCATAATCGTATATGTATAGCTCTCCGGCTGTCCGCGCGATCATACAAAATGGTTGCATAGCATCCTTGTGACAGGTTCATGAAATGTCCTGCCAGGACGTTGGGTAATCACGCGTGACATCTCAGTTTTGCACAGGATTATTAGCTTACATAAGCACGTATTTATTGATGGATTGACGAGGGTCATATTTCCCAAAGCAATTCTTTTTATTCATTTGATTGCTGAAGGCTTGCTTATTTTTTATAAATATTTCTACTTGAATATTGTAGGAATAAAATAGTTCTTAAGGAAGCTGTACCAACTCATCTCGTTCTCATCATGAGATCCACGCATCTTCCTTTGCACATTCAGGACTTGCCCTGACAGATGAGAAGCAAATTGAAATGGAAGCCCTTGGATAATGAAGATCTCTTGCTGGCAAGGATATGTCCCCCCTCCTCTCCAAGAGGAAAACACCGCAAGACACTCGCAGGATAACGTGAGTCCGAACATGTCCATGTCCTGGTTCATTTGCATCTCCACTCAGCGGCTGCCTCCTAATGCTTGGAACTTGGAACTTTAAGGGGCGCTCTGCCATATTTCGTTTACGTCGAGTGCACTTTCGGTCACATTTATTACACAATTCCAATAAATAACTTTTCGCAGGGCTTCCTTCTGGCCAGCAGTGGCAGTCGCAGTCGCAGTCGCAGTTGCAGTTGCAGTTGCTCCTTTTCCGTTCCTTTCTGGCCTCCAACTCCAGACAGGACACACAGGACACACAGACACAAGGACGGTGCGCCGCACGTCGGCAACGATTTTCTTTATGGTATTTACAACGACATCGTCAGCTCGTCATCGTTTTACCGCTGGCCTCAACCGAAGGAAAACCAAGGGCATGGCAAGAAAAGCGAGGGGAAAATACTTTATTTACGAGTATTTTCCAACACACCAGCTGAAGGAAAATGGGACAGAGACGAATAGAGATATACTCTCATGAAGGGATTTTCCTTACTAATATTTTGGGTGTGGATAAATATGGCTTTTGTTTTAACTCAGATTTTTATAAAAGCTTTAAATGATAAATATATAAGCTATAAATATGTATATATACATATACAATAATGGAAAAACCTGTGATGTCATATCTTTTAAATGTAAATAAATAATTAATTCTTAGTTCTCTATTTAAAAATCTTGACTGTTTTGTGATGAATTACTATTCAACTTTAGCATAAATATTCTGATTTAAATGCCAAGTTTTCTTAAGTCAAACCTATTTTAATTTTATAAATTTCACAGTTCAGAATTCAAAGCTTTACTATCATTATAGAATTAAGCAAAATCAAGTGTTATAATTAATAAACAACATCTTGAAAACGTTTTATATGCTAACCCCTTTCAGCGAGCAATCAAAGAAAAGTTTCAAAATTAATTTCATAATTTTACAAATATTTATAAAATATGAAAAATATTAAACACTTTGGCAAGAGTATCAGGAAGCCATATATGTACACATATTATATATAAAGAAGCCACAGTCGAACTGTCAGGGCTCAACTGCTCAAACTCCCTCGATTTTCCCAGTGTGTATATGTTTCTGCAATAAATTTTTGTGCTTGCTTTATCGATATTTTTATGATTTTTATTCCATTTTATTTGTATTCCATTCAGATGTTGCTGATGTTGCTGCTGTTGCTGCTGCTGTTGCTCTTGCTGCTCTTGCTGTTGCTGCACTTGAAGTGCTGTAAATT